TTTAACCCTTTAAAGTTGACTTATTTTTGCCAATTTCTTTATGTTAGTGATACACAAGGGTAAAAAAGTAAATTACGTAAAAGGGTTTAAAGAGGCGTGCAACAACTTAAAATAAAAACTTCAAAATACTATTTTTGTCCCTTGTTTTGGTTTCTATACTTTTAAAAAAGTTAAATTTTGATCTATATACCATTTTTTCATCCTAATCCTTTCAAAATGTCTATTTTAGTCATGTACTTTAATAACTAACCAATTTGATCTTTATTTACAAAATTTTAACACAATTTTTAGACAATGAAAACCCTCTAATAATTTATGACCAAAAAATTATTAAGTGAAATAGGAGTATTCACGTGTTGGGTTAGGTCAGGTTAGGAGTTTTTTTTTTTTTTTGACCAACACGACTTTTTAATTTGTTCAAATCAGGAAACTGACAAAACCGTACATAAGGATCATCCCAATCCAACTCAATCCAACAAAAAAAAATTTCGAATTGGATCGGGTTGGATCATCAGGTTGCCCAGTCTCATAGCAACCATGAATTCCAAGGACATGCAGCAGTTGCATAATCGTGGATGGATGAAGAAAATTAAGAAAATGGTTCGTGGGTGTCAGAGAAGGGGCATAGGGGAGATTAGGGTAATGCTTGAGGAGCTTTTTGAGGGCCTTGTAATAGAGAAACTTGTCCCTCCATTCAGAGAGCGTCTATTSTGAAAGGAATTTTATTTATTGGCATTTTTGACAAAAAAACATTAACTTTTATTTAATCATTTTCTCTATTTATTCTATGTGTATAATTCAATTTATTTATAGGGTTGAATTTGAATTTGAGCTCTTAAATGTTTCCAACGGCTAGTTTTCTTTCTTGGAATGTTTTACTAATTGATTATATGAAAATTGTGTTTTAATTGCATGGAGAGATTTGTAGTTGAATTGGAATAGTGATAAATTCACCTTCCTTCTCATGTCAATTTTTCTTGTCTATTTATTGTGTATGCTTGGAACATATCAAGCAAAAGTGTGGAGCAAAGTTTGATTAATTCTCTCAAATTGTTCAAGTATTGTTTATGGTGTAAAATTTTGAGAGATAATTTTTTATGTAATTCGATAAGTGCAACTCTATGAGTTGTTTTCTTTTGTGAGATTTCTATCAAGTATTGGATAAGATGCATCCACCATTATAGGGAGTTCAAGCGGTGGTCTACAACACAAGGGAAGCTTGTATTTGAAAAGATTCAATCGAAGGAGGAGTCGATCAAGTATTGCGGCATGATTTAAGAAGGGAGTTCTTTTATGTATAAGTCAATATTGATCCTAAATTGTACTAACTTTTGATTGTTAATGTTATTTTCTGAGTGTGGCCTCGTGGGGTAGGTTGGGAAATCGAACCACGTTAAAAACGTCTTTGTGTCATCTCGCTTGACTTGTTTTAATTTATAAGATCCAACAATTTGAAACTTTAAAAATATAATAATATTTTAGCAAGCTAGTTATATGTTTCAATTGGTAACAAAGCAGTGCACTAATTTCTTTTAGTGAGATTTTTGAGATTTTTATTGATTTAATTTGTTTGGTGCTAAAATGTCTATTTCAGAAGGTTTTTCCATTGATAGACCACCTTTGTTGACAGTAAACAACTATTCGAAGATCTGAATGAGAGCATTTATCAAAGCTATGGATGAAAGGGCCTGGAAATCGATATTGATCAGATGGACAGCTCCCACCAAGCCCGAAATAGAATGGTTGGCTGAAGAGGACAAACTAGCAAATTGCAATAGTAAAGCTCCTAATGCCATTTTTAATGGAGCCGATGCCGATGAAATCAAACTCATCTCAACATGTGAATCAGCAAAAGAGGCATGGGACATCTTATAAAAAAACCTATGAAGGAAACAGTGATGTTAAGTGAACTAAATTAATGATGCTTACTGCTAAGCTTGAAAATCTTAGGATGTTAGAAGATGAATGCTTGAATGATTTTTACACTAAATTATGTGATATTGCTAATGAATCGTTTGCTAGGAGAGAAAATGTCAAACTCTAAATTGATTAGAAAAATCGTTAGATCTGTACCCGATAGGTTTTGTCATAAAATAACGACTATTGAAGAAAGTAAAAATTTAGATGATATGAAGGTAGATGAATTGATGGGCTCTCTTTAGAACTTTTGAATTAAATTGGAAAGAAACAAAGAGAAATCTATTGCTTTTAATTATGCCCACAATGATAATGGAGAAAATATTGATGATGATCAACTTGCCTTTTTGTCTACCAATTTTAGTAAAATTATGAAAAACGATCGCAAAGAATTCTAAAACTTCCCAAAATTTTTCAAAAGGCAATAATCCTTCTTTTAAACAAAAAGAAAAGAGAAAAGGGATAAAATGTAAATAATGTGATTGTTACGGTCATATCCTGACTGAATGTTCATACTTTTTAAAGAGAAACACCAACTTGGTAACAAGTACTTGGAGTGATGAAGATTCAGGTCAAAAAGAACCTATAGTCGATAATATAGTTTTTACTGCAGCTTGTATTATTGATAATTCTATGAGTGTGTAGAATTTACAAGATGACGTGGAAAATACTGATATTGAGAAAGATGATTATGATGGTGAAGATTATATTGAGCACTTGATGAAGATTTTCTCAAAGAACTTACCAAAGTATATTCACTAAATCGTTAAAGATGTGTAAAGCCAACAAAGCTTTGGTAAGTCAAAACTGATAAAAAATGAAAAGGATTTAAAAATTGACGTTGTGGGTTTAAATAAATTGCTTATTGAAAAAAATAAACAAATTGAGGAGATTAAAGGTGAACTTGGTACTTCGAAATTAGATTATCTTTCGGGTACAGAAAAATCTACATGCAACAAAAAGAGTTTGGGATATGAGAGAGAAGTTAAAAGGCCTCAATTTTTGTGAAGACACGAAATATGAGTCTAACAGTAAATGATTCTTCAACTGCCTATCCCACTTTTACATCTATGCAACAAAAGGTAAAAGGTAAATTAAAAAAATTATTCCTATATGTCATTTTTGTGGTATTCATGAACATTTTACCTAAATGCTTTAAATTAAAGAAATTAGCGAGAAATGATATCTTATCTTATGCTCTCAAAAGAAATTTTGGTTGAGACTTGATTCTATATGCTATCTTTTAAATGTTTTTTTATTTCTTTGTGCTAGTGATCATTTGTTTAAATAATTTATAAAAAAAAAATTGTTATTTTGATATTTTATTGAGGGGAGTTTTTTTTGTCATGTTTTGGAGAAAATAAGGGGAGAAATATTTCTTGATTGGTTAAATTGTTTTAAATGTGTTTTTGACAAATAAATGCAAAACGGGAGATTGAAAGGAATTTTATTTATTGACATTTTTGGCAAAAGCATTAAGTTTTATTTAATCATTTTCTCTATTTATTCTATGTGTATAATTCAATTTATTTGTAGGTTTGAATTTGAATTTGAGCTCTTAAATTTTTCCAAAGGCTAGTTTTATTTCTTAGAATGTTTTACTAATTGATTATATGAAAATTGTGTTTTAATTGTATTTGAGAGATTTGTGGTTGAATTGAAATGGTGATAAATTAACTTTCCTTCTCATGTCAATTTTTCATGTTTAATTTGTTTTATTCTCTCAAATTGTTCAAGCATTGTTTATGGTGTAAAATTTTGAGAGATAATTTTTTATGTAATTCGATAAAGTACAATTCTGAGAGTTGTTTTCTTTTGTGAGATTTTTATCAAGTATTTGATAAGACACATCCACCATTCAAGGGAGTTCAAGCGGTGATCTACGACACAACGGAAGCTTGTGTTTGAGAAGATTCAATCGTCGATCAAGTATTGCGGCATGATTTAAGGAGAGGGTTCTTTTATGCATAAGTCGATATTGATAGTAAATTGTACTAACTTTTGATTGTTAATCCTATTCTCTGGACGTGGCCTCGTGGACTAGGTTGGAAAATCGAACCACGTGAAAAACGTCTTTGTGTCATCTGACTTTAATTGTTTTAATTTCTAAGATCCAAAAATTTGAAGCTTTAAAAATATAATAATATTTTAGCAACCTAGTTAGATCTTTCATATTCCATGTGGGTCTTAAATTCCTTCCCAAATTTCATGGTCGAAAGATACGAGAGATTGGAGTTGACGACCGGGTGCATCGCAAAACTGGGGAGAATGAAGGGAGGGTGGCTGAATTAGTGTTGGAACCTGAAAATTTCTATAACTGAGAGCAAACCAGAGGGGAAATCAGCGGGGGAAGAAGGGGAATTCGGAGATGGAGGATAGAATAAAATTGTTGAGAGATGAGATTGAGAGCGTAAGATTGTTGAGGGGTGAGATTGAGAGATATCGAGATTGAGAGATGTGAGATCGAGAGACTGAGAGAGGTAAAAAGAGAAACTAGAAGACTGATAATTATTTAAAACATGCATCCATACATATATATAATTCCAGTTCGATTCGGTTTAATCAAATTTATTTTTACCAAACTCGCCAATCAAACTGAACCGTTCGATTTACAAAAAAATATATTATCCAACTCAAACTGAACCTTTATTAACCCAACCGAGTCCAAATAGATTGGGTTGTTCGGGTTCTTTAGTTAAAGCTTTGCAAATATACAACCAATTTTAGTATCCATCGTAGTTTCCCAACCCATGTTATGAAACTTTAATAATCAAAATGGTTACAGTTTCAGAGTGGAACGAGCAAAATTAAAAAAAATTTTAAAATTTCAAGGACCAAAATCTAACCAAGGTAAAAGTTAAAGTACCAAAACAAGACTTAAATCTAGTTTCAATTTTCGGGAAAAGAAATTAAGTGAAAAACAAAAACAGAATGAATTTAAAAATGGATAGACCCAAGTTTAATAAAACCAATTGTTAAGGGCAGAAAATATCTAGTATTGATTGAAAGGGACGGGCACCGGCTTGTTTGGCGTTGGGGCCTCGATGGATCAACTTCGCGTCCAACTTGTAATTATATTTTGTGTCGTCTAATAAAATCCCAAACACACTTCAACATATAATCTCACAATTCCAGATCCTTCCACTATAATTGTGGCCGCCGCACACAGCTTCTTGATTTCCAGATCCATGGCTTCCTCTGAACCGGAGTCGCCGGAGACTTCCTCTCTCTTCGCCTTCACGCCCTTCCTCTTCGGCTTCACCAACAACCGCAGAGACGACCCAAATCAAGAATCCCGAAATCCGGCCAATCGGGAAAGCGAAAGGTTTTTTCTTGTGAACCCCTTTACCCAGAGCATGGTGGTGATCGAGGGGAGCTCTGCCTTGGAATCGCTTTTACGCGACCTGGGTTCGAAGGATGGGCCGCCGCCGGCCTCCAAAGCCTCCATAGAAGCGCTTCCGGCCGTTCAGCTCCTGGAGGAGGGCGAGTGCGTGATCTGTTTGGATGAGTGGGAAATTGGTGCTACGGCCAAAGAATTGCCTTGCAAACACAAATTCCATCCCAATTGTATAGAGAAATGGCTTGGAATTCATGGGTCTTGCCCCATTTGTAGGCACAAGATGCCCGTCGATGATGGGGATGGCAAGAAAAACGACGTCGTAGGGAGAGGGAGGAGGCTGAGGGAGATTTGGGTTGGTTTTTCCTTCAATAATGATATCAGAAGTGATGATTCTAATCCACTTCCTTCCAGTGCTTCCGATCATGAAGCAGAGGATTAGAATTTTGGCACCTTTTTTTTAAAAAAAATTCTCTACTGTTTGTGTTGAGAAGGATTGTGTATAGAATAAAGGTTGTTTTCCTTTTTATGTTGTTCTGTATATAGCAGATGTAATTATGTAAATTCTTTTGATCACCATCTATAATCTGCAAGTAATCCGCATGAATCGAAGCTGCGATTGGCTTGTTGTTAATTTGTATTTGTTTGGGTGGAACGAGACGCAGTTCATTAGGTTGATTTATGGGTTCTTTTAAAAGTTAGAATTTTCTTTAGTTTTCAGTTTCTAATTTATATTCTCATCGTTATCATGTTTGGGTTTGATGATCATCTGCTTATTTTTAGCAATGAGTTGGAAGCAAGTCGAAGTGATACTTTTATGATACATAATGTTGGTATGTTTCGGAAAGGCTGATTGTGTTTAGTTGAGAGGTAGCTATTTTAACTTTTCCGTTGCAATTTGGGTATCGTTGAGAAAAACATTTCAGAAACATCTTATCAAAAGAGGTACACTTGGTTTGGGGGCCCGTTGAGCGGGGCGGTACCAATTGAGTTGATTGGTTAAGTGTCCACTATTGGCGATATTGACAATGTTAATAAACTTTAGGGTCCGTTTCTGTTTCGTGGAAAAGTAGAACTACAGGCTTCCCACTTCCAACAATCATGAATTCAATAATTCAAAAATTATATTTTTAATTATGTTTTAGAACATATTGGAAAATGCACTCTCAGGTGTTGGCGCACTGACAAGAGGTTTGAGTGTTGATGTAATGACCCCAATTTTTATATGTCATTAATAATATAATATTGAAATAATTACTCATAAAACATAATTTCATTAAAATAAAATAAGATAAAAACTTGTATTTTCATCTAAAAATGAAAACGATAACTTAATAAAACTTAACTTATAAATGTTTAGCAGCGGAAATCACAAAGTTATTATCCTTAAATAAAACAAGTAAAAATGTGGTATAGCCATAAATCCCAACCTCTACTCTAGCACGAAATCACTCGCTATTGCTCAACTCAATATGGTTCCCTTCTGAGACACCCAAACATGGACACCCATAACTCCCGTTGATAGATACCCGAGCAATAACATAAGTTTTAAGCATTACTAGGGGACCTCATTCCTAAGTATCCACAAACCTGCTAAAGAAAAGTAGCTAATCACAAATAGAGCAAGTCAACTAACCATACTTCCTTCCGCATCATACGAAAGCTAGCATACTAAACAAGGTGGGCCAACAGTGTTCAGTAAGATGAAGGAAAATATGCACAACTCTATTAAATAACAAGAAGAAAACAGTTAGAGTGTTGGTTGTTCAATAGTTACAGCATATAAATCTCCCTCGAAATGAGGTTTAACTAACGAGGGAAAGACAAAACACAATGGGCAAGGGAAATATACAATCCATTTCCGAAAAAATAGATAAAGAAAACACAGATGGAGACACCAGCACGCAATGGCAACACCAGCTCCTCTCTATTGTTAGCTCTCTTTCCGAAAAGGGTGAGATTCCTCTCCCTTGTCTTTTCCAGCATAGAAGAATATTCTCTATTGGGATCTGTGTGTGTCGGCTAGGTCATCCTATCCCTTTCGATGGTCCCAATTTTACGGCACCCAGCTGGTAAATTTACTTGCATGGTAAAATATCCTTGTATGGGATACTTACTGTGTTGTGAATCCATGCTCCAACACTTGTTTACACCAGCTTATTAATGCTCTGTCTTCAACATGCTTCATCAACTCCTTTCTGGGCTCAACATTTTTCCCATGCCCTTGTCTTCAGTCCCAAACCTGCGCAAAAGAGCCAATAATAGGAGAATTCAGTACTATCTTAGACCAAAACAGTCAATACACAGGACTTCAGTCAAATTTCATTTTCTATATTATTCAGGATTTTCTCAAGCTAAAATAGGCACACATTAACAATAAATTGCACAAAATTTCCCCAATAATGACTAGAATAACTTTCTTTTGGAGAGTTATCAGAGTTCCACGACTAGGATGCTAGATATGAATGGTTCATGGGCGATCTTCGAGGGTTCGTACTGAGTGGTGGGTCCGTGACCCCCTGCCCTAAGCTCAATTTTTACTCGGTTGAAGATCTTTTCCTTCACTCAGTCCAGTTTTTCCTAGTTGATCCTTGTGTGGGACCCGCTTGGTGGACTAGACGTCTCGATGCTAGTCTGGGATTCTACGTTTGAGCGAGTCGCCTCATGTCATTCCCAACTCTTGTTGATCTTGTCCCTGAGGTCCTTCGAGCCCTCTAAGGACCCAAGCGTTCGGAAGGGGTCATCTTTCGTGAGTGTCCACTGGCGGGGCTCGGAGTTCTCCCTTGGCAACTTCTCCTTCTCCCCAACTTCCGTTCGGAGGATGGAGGCTCCACGGGTTCGGTCGGCCAAGATGATCTCGATTAGCCTTCCCATTTGGTAGTTATGTGGACATTACTCGCCCGCATTTTGCTTTGAAACCCAGAGCTTTTACGGTGAGGGTGCCCCACCTTCCATTTGCCGAGGTGGCCTATAGGGTGAACGAGATTGAAAGTGTCCCAGATTCCCTGGCTTTCTGTGGTGAAAAGGGAGTCGAGGCTGGCTTGTCAACCAACTTGTCGCGTCAACACTCCTCATTGCCGGAATGCTCATAAAATAATTCCTTGTTGGAAATCATCCCGATGATGTCTTAGTGTCAAGAACTAGTCTTCGTTTTGGCTTGAAAATGTCGTCTTCATAGACGGTGCCAACTGTTGACAGCGAATTTTGGAGAGGTCCATATGTCCTTCGGACGAGTAGCTTCGCCAGAGAACAAATGAGCCTGTAATTAGAAAACTCGACATTGGTACAGTCACCCAACTAATGCACTCTGACGCTTAACTCATTAATCGGAGTAGAGAATAGAAAAAGACACCTTATGTATTAGTGCAAGGCTTTTTACTTACTTGTGAAGGTGAGGGTCCTTCCTTATATATTTCTTAGATTTTAGGTTTATTTTATTTACAAAATATCTTGT